TATTAGATACTTAATTCATGATAATAACTATCTTCGCAAAATTCTGTAGATGGCAAACAACAACACAAACAACCTCGCCCTGCGTTCCATTCTGGATAAAGATAAATTGAACGGAACAAACTTTGTTGACTGGCAACGCAATCTCTCCATTGTTCTCCGCATGGATGAGAAAGAGTATGTGCTCGAAAAGCCCATTCCTCCTGCCCCTCCCGCTAACGCCTCGAAAGCGGTTAAAGATGCCTACAAGAAACACGTTAAGGATGACAACCAGGTTAGCTGTGTCATGCTGGCTACCATGATAACCGAGCTGCAAAAACAGCACGACGACATGAAGGCCCACGAGATGATCGTGGCCTTGCGGCAGCTATACCAAGGGCAATCCAGGCATGAACGTTTTCTCGTGAGTAAGGCTCTCTTTAGTTGCAAGCTCTCTTCAGGGAACCCGGTCGGTCCACACGTTCTCAAAATGATTGGTTACATAACCAATCTAGAGAAACTCGGGTTCTCCTTGCAGAAGGAGATGGCAACGGACCTGATCGTGCAGTCGCTCCCTGAGCTATATAAGGGTTTTGTCATGAACTACATGATGCATGATCTTGACAAACCCCTTCCGGGGCTTCTTAAAATGCTCGAGACAGCAGAGGAGAACCTTACTAAGGGCAAGGGTGCTTCCGTCCATATGGTCCAAGGCGGAAAGGGGAAGCCGAAAAAGGGGATTAAGATTAAGGCTAGGACGGTCGGAAAGCCTAAATCGAAGTCAACTTCATCTACAACCCAGAAACCCGTAGGAGGAGTTGCAAAGGGCAAATGTCATCACTGTGGTAAGGCAGGCCACTAGAACTACAAGACATACCTCGCAACCAAGAAGAAGGAAGGTACGACCATTTCTTCTGAGGTGTTTGTTATAGAAGTTAACATGTCTATATCTTCATCATGGGTACTAGATACTGGATGTGGGTCTCATATCTGTACTACCATGCAGGGACTAAATGGTGCACCAGTTGCAGGATTGGCAATCGGAACTTATAGTTTAGTCTTGCCTAGTGGTCTTATGTTGGAATTAAACGATTGCTTGTGCGTTCTTGCAATTAGCAGAAACATTATTTCTGTTTCATGTCTTGATAAAAGTGGTTTCATCATTTCTATTAAAGACAAGTCCCTTTCCATTTACAGAAAGAATGTTTTCTATGCTAATGCCAACATGACAAATGGGTTATATGTCCTTGACATGGACATGCATGTCTATAACATATCAGCCAAGAGGAACAAACCAAACGGTTTGAACCAAACATACCTATGGCATTGTAGGTTAGGCCATATAAACGAGAAACGCATATCCAAGATGCATCGCTCGGGAATGCTGGAGTCATTTGATCTTGAATCATATGACACGTGTGATTCTTGTTTATTAGGTAAGATGACCAAATCTCCTTTCACCGGACACGGTGAAAGAGCTGGTGATCTTCTGGCACTCATTCATAGTGATGTGTGCGGGCCTTTCAATACAACTACACGAGGTGGTTATTCATACTTCATCACATTTACTGATGACCTCAGTAGATATGGCTATGTGTATCTCATGAAACACAAGTCAGAATCCTTTGAAATGTTCAAAGAATTCCGGAATGAAGTTGAAAAACAACTTGGAAAAAGTATTAAAACACTACGATCCGATCGGGGTGGAGAATACTTAAGTGGTGAGTTCGATGACTATCTTAGAGAGCATGAGATTTTATCCCAACTCAAACCTCCTAGGACCCCACAATGGAATGGCGTCTCTGAAAGGAGGAATCGAACTTTGCTTGACATGGTTCGTTCTATGATGGGTCATTCGACTCTACTAGAATCATTCTGGGGGTATGCGCTGAGCACTGCAATATATACTCTTAACCGAGCTCCAACCAAGGCGGTTGAAGGAACACCATACCAGCTATGGACGGGGAAATGCCCTGTTCTGTCACACTTAAAGATTTGGGACTGTGAGGCTTACGTCAAACGTCTTATGACGAATTGCAAGCTTGACGCCAGGTCTGATATGTGTTTCTTCGTGGGATACCCTAAGGAAACTCATAGGTATTCATTCTATCACCCTATCAATAAGAAGGTATTCGTTGCTTGCAATGGTGTCTTCCTCGAGAAGGAATTTCTCTCCCACGCAACTAGTGGGAGAAAGATAGAGCTCGAAGAAATTCGAGACGACGAAGAAACTACCGCGCCGGTTCAGGAACATGAGCTAGAGGAACAAACCGTTGTACCTCAAAATGCTCAAGATACACAAGAACCCCACAGGTCTAACCGGTTACGCACACAACCTGTAAGGTATGGATTCATCCTAACCTTTGAGGGTGACGTAATCCTTATCGACCAGGATGAGCCGGAGACCTACCTCGAGGCAATCAGTTGTCCCGAGGCTGAGGAATGGCGTCAAGCCATGCAGTCCGAAATGGATTCCATGTACACCAACCAAGTATGTACTTTGGTTGATGTACCCGAAGGGATCAAACCCATTGGGTGCAAATGGGTCTTCAAAAAGAAGGCTGACATGGATGGTAAGGTACAAACCTTCAAGGCACAATTGGTAGCAAAAGGATATCATCAAATACATGGTATCGACTATGACAAAACTTTTTCTCCAGTTGTCATGATTAAATCCATTCTGATCTTACTTGTTATCGCAGCATACCAACGATTACGAAATATGGCAGATGGACTTCAAAATGGCTTTCCTTAATGGAAACCTCCTTGAGGATGTCTTTATGACACAACCTGAAGGGTTTTGCGCTCCTGAAGAATCTACCAAGGTATGCAAGTTGCAGCGATCAATCTACGGATTGAAGCAAGCCTCACGGAGTTGGAACATCCGCTTTCACGAACCCGACATCGGCTTTGGTTTTGAAAGAAATTTGGATGAATCTTGTGTATACAAAAAGGTCAGTGGGAGTGTTGTAGTCTTCCTTGCTCTGTATGTTGATGACATACTGCTCATAGGAAACGATATTCTTACTTTAACCACCGTCAAAAACTCATGCCTTTCACCCCCCTTTTCATAGTGAAAAAACCCTGAGGACTCCCATTGACCATAACAGAAATGAATGTGCTTCTCAAATTGGCTAAGAGAAGTTTTTGATTGTGATCACTGAAACCTAGTTTATCCAACACGCCTAGAATGTAATGCCATTCCATATTATCAAAAGCCTTAGCCATATCAAGCTTTATGATGACATTTCCCCCTCTGATCTTAGCATCAATTTTGTGAACCATTTCTTCAACTAGGAGTATCTGCTCATCTACCCACATACCTTTTTGAAAGCCAGTTTGCTCTTTTGAAATAATCTTGGGTAAAATCAACTGAAGCGTGTCTGCAAGGATTCTAGTATTAATCTTACTCATGAATGTAGATAATGATATAGGTCTGTAGTCCCCAAACCTTTTAGGACTGTCATTTTTAGGGATTAAAGTGATGAAAGTGCTTCCATAACTCTTGGGGACTGGAACTCCAACAAAAAACTCATGTGTTGCACTTACTACATCATCTTTGATTATATGCCAGCAAGCCCTGAAGAAGGAGTGTTGAGTCACAAAATATCATATTTTATTCTCTCATTTCATAGTATTTTAAAGATGTTTTATATGCATTTCATACCAAAATAAACATATTTTGTTATATTTAGCATTTTAGGCTACTGTTTACATTTTATACATAAANTTTAGGGATTAAAGTGATGAAAGTGCTTCCATAACTCTTGGGGACTGGAACTCCAACAAAAAACTCATGTGTTGCACTTACTACATCATCTTTGATTATATGCCAGCAAGCCCTGAAGAAGGAGTGTTGAGTCACAAAATATCATATTTTATTCTCTCATTTCATAGTATTTTAAAGATGTTTTATATGCATTTCATACCAAAATAAACATATTTTGTTATATTTAGCATTTTAGGCTACTGTTTACATTTTATACATAAATAGACAAGGTCCTCGCTAGATTCAGCATGTCTGAATTGAAACGAGGAAGTTTGCCTATGGTCCAAGGCATGAGTCTTTCCAAGACTTAGGGTGCTTCCACTCCAGAGGAAGTAGAACGCATGAGAAATGTTCCTTATGCGTCGGCCATTAGATCCATCATGTATGTGATGGTATGTACGAGACCTGATGTTGCCTTTGCTCTGAGTGTCACGAGTAGATACCAGTCCAACCCTGGCAAAAGCCATTGGACGGCTGTGAAGAACATCCTTAAGTACTTTCGTAGGACTAAGGATTCCTTCCTGGTATATGGCGGAAAAGAAGAGCTCAGTATTGTCGGATATACTGATGCCAGCTTCCAGACTGAGAGACGACTTCAAGTCGCAGGCAGGGTATGTGTTTTGTTTGAATGACGGAGCTGTTACCTGGAAGAGTTACAAGCAAGATACTACCGCTGATTCCACTACAGAAGCAAAGTACATGGCTGCAGCCGAGGCAGTTAAGGAAGGTGTGTGGCTCAAGAATTTTATTACTGAGCTTGGAGTGGTTCCTAGAATCAAGAACCCTATACCGTTGTTTTGCGACAACAATGGGGCAATTGTACAAGCGAAAGAACCTCGGTCTCACCAGAAGACCAAACACATCGTTAGTCGTTATCACATCATGCGAGAAATCGTTGCACGTGGGGACATTGAGATTTGCAAGATATACACACGACAATATCGCGGATCCGTTGACGAAGGCTTTGGAAAGCCTAAACACGAGAGTCATGCGTGGTCCATGGGCATTCGAGAAATGCTTGATTGGCCTTAGGGCAAGTGGGAGATTGTTGTATTTAGGTGCCCTAGCGGCAATCAAATACCTTTGTAACTGTACACTTTATCATGAATGAAAGGCCTTGAAGTATGTTTATATCTCGTGTAATATAACATAACTTCAGTCCATAGACGATAGCGCTTTAGTAACATAGATGAGGACTTCAATGTTCTGATTATGAGACTGTTACTTCTTGACAAAGGCTATGTCTAGAATATCCCTAGTTGCACTTTATGATAATACGGACGTCATAACGTATTAAGACTAGTACGTAGGAGATAAGATAGTTGCGTCTCATAGACTATAGATATTGTGATATCTTAATCTGTACGTAGGTGCATATTATATCGATAATATGTGACTGGATTGACCCATCTTGAGAATACTGCATAGATCTACAGTAATGTGTTTATCAGTATTCTCAATTCGACCTTGCTATAACTATCCTCAGACTTGAAGTTATTACATTCTCTGATATGTGGGGCCGTATATTTTGATTCATAACTAATTTTATCTGAAATACTGGTAGACGTACAGTTATGCGTTGGGTATGCCGCTAAGAATATTTGGAGATGTGAATAACAGATAGAGGATCTGTCCCTTCTACTATATAGAAGTATAATGTCAATGGGCCCACTGAATAGTAGGAGTTGGGAAAGTGCATGGTCATGCCCAGATATGTCGCTATCCAGAGACTGATAAATATCTGATCCCTACCAGTCTACTTGAGATTCAGTAGCAGCTGATTTGACTATACAAGGATACACATCCCATGCCTTGTGTTAAATCGTGACATTTAGGACAGAAGGATAATAGTTATAGAGCGTCTTGTGTCGTAGAAGGTATTGATGAGATGAACGTCTTTTTCATAATCTGGGGTAATAATGTGTTGCTAGATACCGCTTATTATCTATGGTATTAATTTTATTAATATCATTGCCAGTGTTATGGATACCTAAAGGGTCACACACTTAGGACTTGTAAGGGAGTAGTATACTACACTAGTGGGAGTAATATTAAATATATAGTTGTGATAATTATATATATATATGTATTTCGAAAATACATATGTATTTTAAAATTATATTTTGTTTGTGTCATTTTATTTATATGATAATTATATTTTGACAAAACAAATTTTATTATATATATATGTATGTGTGTGTGTGTGTGTATATATATATATATATATATATATATAGGGATTGACTCCGGTGAGATGACACCTTCTGCTAAGATGACATGTTCAGTCAGATGACACTGGAGCTCACCACTGATCACTGCAAAACTCATCACTTTCCACTGCAAAGCTCACCGTGATTTTCCAACACTTTACTTTTTTTTTCAAAATTTGATGGTTAAATGCTTACAATGCCCAGCAACAAAGCTCACTGGTTATCATTGCAAATCTCACTGAATATCTGCAAAAAGCTCACCACACTTTAAAGTTTTAAAATGATTTCAAAAAAAACAAAGGGCGGTGGTGCTGACTTCCAACCGCTTCAGACTACCGCCGTGGACCGGTGGTGCAATTTTGTTAGTTGTTTTTTAAAAAAAAAGTGGTGATCTTTGCATTGTTTCTTAGTGAGCTTTCCATTGACACTTGGTGAGTTTTGCATTGACAGTTGGTGAGCTTTGCACTTTGACCGCCCATGACCAATGGCCACCACCGATGACCCCCATTGTTGCCGTGGACCGGTGGTTGAGCGGTGGTTGAATGGTGGTGCTATTTTTTTTTAACTTTTTTTATTTAAAAAAGTGGTGAGCTTTGCATTGACAGTTGGTGAGCTTTGCATTGGCAGTTGGTGAGCTTTGCATTGACAGTTGATCTCTTCTTCTTGAAGCTTACTATCCAGCGAACACCTCCTAGAAGCCAGTAATCCACAGCCAAGCTAACTCTTTAGCCAGAAAATACTCCTCCCAGTCTTCTTCCTCTCAATCTGTCAATCCTTACTATGTCTGGACCTGGTAAGTTTCCCCGTGTTGAGTCAAATTAAGCTGCAGGCTCCACTCCTGGTGGTGCCCTTCCGTCAATTCCTTTAAGTTTCAGCCTTGCGACCATACTCCCCTCCAGAACCCAAAGACTTTGATTTCTCATAAGGTGCCGGTAGAGTCTTAAAAGCAACATCCACCTAGTCGGCATCGTTTATGGTTGAGACTAGGACGGTATCTGATCGTCTTCAAGCCCCCAACTTTCGTTCTTGATTAATGAAAACATCCTTGGCAAATGTTTTCGCAGTTGTTCATCTTTCATAAATCCAAGAATTTCACCTCTGACTATGAAATACAAATGCCCCCGACTGTCCCTGTTAATCATTACTCCGATCCCGAAGGCCAACGTAATAGGATTGAAATCCTATAATGTTATCCCATGCTAATGTATATAGAGCGTAGGCTTGCTTTGAGCACTCTAATTTCTTCAAAGTAACAACATTGGAGGCATGACCCGACCAATTAAGACCAGGAGCACATCACCAGCAATAGAGACAAGTTCAACGATGCACACCATGAGGCGGACCGGCAAACCCATCTCAAAGTCCAACTACAAGCTTTTTAATGAAAGGTAACCATGCAAGGATAGGAAGCGGAATATAAAAATTTTAACATCCTAACATGATTATCTTGCCCAGAATCGCGTACTAAAACTTATAGTAGTAAGAAATTTGTACCTTTCTCCGTAAGCGGTAAAAACGAAGAAGTCGTAGGAAGAGCGTTGAAAGTGCAAACGTAACCGTTCAAGCGTCCGGTCTCCAACTTTGACACACGAACAACGCCGGAGTCTACCACAATCTTTATGCTAGTAAAGATTATAGTAGTATAAAATATAAAGATTAAAACTGGGATAATAATAATCTTGTATATTTCTATAGAAAATATTTCTAATAATATTTAGAAAATATTATAGATATTTTCTATACACAAAATGATATTAATGGAACACTAAAATAGTATTTCTCTCTCTTAGATGGTATAGCCGAAAACCACTCAAAAAAAAATTTCTCACATTGTTTTTAAAAGTGGCGTGTGATATTTTAAGGAGAAAAAGATGGTGAATTTGACTTTGTCATTAACTAAATGACAAAAATAATTAGCTCCACTAATTAAGCAATCAATGTATAGTTTGATTCTCTAAATCTACACTTTGGCCGCAAAAAAATTTGAGAAAGTGAGAAGGATTTTCAAAATTCTTCTCCACTCAAATGTTCAAAGTGTATTTTATTTGACACCAAAAATTAATATAAAATTAATTTTAAATCAAATACAAATACCCATATCATTTTAAACAAGTATAAAATATACTTCAAATAGTTTATGTCAAAATAATTATTTTCATAATTAAAATGACAAATCAAAATAAAATGTTCAATATTATATATATATATATATATATATATATATATATATATATTAATCGGCACATATATATAATATATATAACCGAATATTTATATATATATATATATATATAATATTATATTCCAAAATATTTTACTTTACTATTTTTACAAATATACAAATTTCTTATTATCCCATTGTTTAATCCTACTCCTTAAATTGTCCAAAGTGTGTGACCCGTATAGGCACTTATAAAGCTGGCTACAGTATTGGCTCTGCACCAATACTATAAGCAATAAGCGGTATCTAGCAACACATTATTGTCCCCCAGATTATAAGTTAAGACATTTGCACCGTCAAAACCTTTCCACGACTCAAACTCCGTGATTGACATAGGGAAACAGAGTTACAGATTTGAATTACGTTCCCTAATTATTTTAGGTCGAACATAGGTAATTCAGTAAGTGACTAAATAGTTCAAACTGATTATCCTTGTCTGCAGTATTTTTGTAGAGTCGTACCGGTACGTTAAAGGAGTTAGTATTGTTATCAGTGGGCCCCATAAGACATTAATCTCTTTTAAAAGAGTAGTGACAAATCATATGTACGTAATCTAAGTTTCTGAATACGCGCTGCGGCATACCCAAAACAAAGCCTTTATACCATCCTTATTTCATATGGCTTAGGACAATGCATCAAAGTATGCGGGTTCACATATGCAGAAAACGTAATACTTCAAGTCGAAGGATAGCTACACCCGTGGTCGCGCTAAAGATTCTTAGAGCATGAACTAAAAATTCAAGCAACATCTTTAGAATGGGTCAGTCCGGCATCCTATTATCTCTAGATAATATCTGCCCATGTGCGGATGCGAACACACCTTCATTGACCATGAGACTAAGTAAAAACATCCAACACACACTAGTCTCACATGCATTAACGATATCCCACTCTCGTTAATACTCGACTATGGACATTCAGATAAATATTTATTTCAAGATGTTAGTCCCATCAGCAGAATTAACACTATCTGATAAACATCTTTAAATATAAATCTAGGAATATAATATTTTTTTACATTAGCATGAGATGTGTAAACATATTATATCTACCTATACATGATAGGATAACGATGAACAGTTGGCCATCAGGGCACAACTCCAACATTTAACTGCAACAACTTAAATGTACGCTATTGGAGCTAGAATTACGGCGGCTGCTCGCACCAGACTTGCCCTCCAATGGATCCTCGTTGAGGGATTTGGATTGTACTCATTCCAATTATCAAACTCGAATGAGCTCAGTATTGTTATTTATTGTCACTACCTCCCCGTGTCAGGATTGGGTAATTTGAGCGCCTGCTGCCTTCCTTGGATGTGGTAGCCGTTTCTCAGGCTCCCTCTCCGGAATCGAACCCTAATTCTCTGTCACCCGTCACCACCATGGTAGGTGTTACGGGGCTGATTTTTCACTCACGTTATTCAAACCCATACGGCCTATTTTGTCTCACAAAATAGTCAGCCTTAACTTTTCTTAGGGGCAGAATATCTTCAAGAACACAACGAACACAAATTTACTGTAAACAACCAACCTTGTATTAGACTCGTATAATACAAAGGAACACCCAAAGACTCCGTTTTTAGCCCTTGTCTCACTTGGCTAACACATGCCATGGGCGGTCATATATATAGGCAAAAACGTGATGGTTACAGGCAAACCATCTAGCCAAACACGACCCTTCACGAAGGACACCAATGCCAAACCGCCCCTGGTTCAGAATTCAAAAGCCAACCACCCTTTTGAATTTCAAATGGCACTGCCCGCCTGGTAACTGCCACGCGCCCCTAGCCATGCATCCTTAGCGACCCGTGGCTTCCACCCAAAGCCACTCTAGTCCAAGCTACACCCCACGCCGCGCCCCCATCACTGAGCCAGCCATGAGCCAACTTGAGCCAACTTCGTTTTCCCCCGAACCACCCGTGAGCCACTGCGTTCCTGCAAGTCTGGCCAACCCTGCCAGTTACTCCCGCCCCATGGTTCGGCTTAGGATCAGCACCAACCTTAGCCATCCTTCCCTCGGAGCCAATCGTGCTATCCCAGCCAGCACCTGACCTTGATCAACATTAGACAACGCCAAGCCAAGGCCATCTTGGCGTTGCCAAACCATCCTAATTTTAAGGGTCTAACATACCTCCCCCACCAGGAGAGTCCGACGTCCTCTTTGGAGGTTGTGAGGCAGCATCGCGGCCTGCCAATACTCCTCGATCTTGTCTTCAAATTGCCACAACTTCACATCTCGCACCCAACTTGAGTCTTCTTTGGAATCACCTTCCCATTGCACAAGGTACTATGCTCCCAAATCTTTTCAATGCCTTTGTCAAATTGTTCCCGAATTGTTGGAGGAGGATGCTTAAGTTGTTACCTTGAAGCGTCAAACTCTTCCTTATTAAACCGCTTCAAAAAATTGACATGAAAAGTGGGGTGAACTTTCAACCGTTCATGTAGTTTTAAACGGTTAGCCACCTCTCCAACTTTGTGCATAACTTCAAACGGACCATCATACTTTGGAACCAAGCCACGATGAACGGCTTTGCTACTGATCCTTTTCCAAATCTGGAGAGTTAGTTTCAACATCACTAAGTCCCCAACTTGGAATTGAACATCCCGCTTTCACTGATCCGCCTGCCTCTTCATCCGAGTCTGGGCCATGCAAGACTATCACGAGCCTCATCAATTAAGTCTTGTTTGTTCTTCGCGAAGCGGATAGCAGCCGGACACGCTCCACCAACCCTTACAGAAATCTGATGAGGGGTAAGGGGTTCGAAGCCAACTGCCAACTCAAACGGCGTCATTCCAGTGGCACTGGACTGGACTGATGTAAGTTATAGCAAAACTGGGCCGAATCAAGTAACTCCAACCAGTTTCTTTGACTCGCCATCACATAATGCCTCAGGTATTCCTCAAGTAATGCCTTCATCCTCTCTGTTTTCCCGTCAGTTTGTGGATGATTTGCTGTGTAGAACTTTAAAGAACTGCCCAACAGCTTGAACAAGGAAGTCCAAAACCGACCAGTGAATCGCGTGTCACGATCACTTACGATGTCTTCAGGAAGGCCAAAGTACTTGACCACATTCCCGTAAAACAAATCTGTCGTCTTCTCAGCAGGGCAACAATGAGGAGCCGCTATGAACACTCCATACTTAGAGAAGCGATCAACAACCACCAAGATTGTTGACATGCCATTCACCTTAGGAAAACCTAAAATAAAATCCATGGACACTGATTGCCACAGTCTCTCTGGAATAAGCAGTGGCTGCAAGAGACCTCCCTCCTTCCGTTTCTCTACTTTATCTTGTTGACATACACGGCAAGTCCGCACATATGCCTCTACGTCGTTTTCCATCTTTGGCCAGACATAGTCCCTGGACAACAATGCAATCATCCGAGCCACACCTGGATGACCAGCCCATTGCGGGTCATGAGTCTCTCTCAACAGCTGCACCCGTAAGTCACCTTCTGGGACGTAAAGTCTGCCACCTTTGCCAAACAGTAAGCCATGTTCCAGCCAGTATCTCCGCACGATCCTGCTGGTTACCTGTTCTGCAAACTTTTGGTATTTTGGGTCATTCTTGGCTACATCACGAATCAAATCCACCATGTTACTTTGCACCATAACCATAGCAGCAACATATTCTTCAACAGCCTTCCCACTCAAGGCATCCGCAACAACATTGTGCCTGCCCGGACGATGCACCCAATCATAATCAAACTCATCAAGGAACTCCATCCATTGAGCTTGCTTAGGGGACAGCTTCTTCTGCATTTTGAAATATGTCTTGGCCACATTGTTAGTCACCACAAAGAACTTGGTGCATAACAAGTAATTCCGCCACACTTCCAAACAATGAACAACTGCCGTCATCTCCTTCTCATGATCACCATAACGGGTTTCCGCATCCTTAAGCTTCCTACTCTCAAAGGCAATGGGATGGCTATCCTGCACGAGAACTCCTCCCAAAGCCCGATCAGATGCATCGGTGTGTACTTCAAAGGGAACACTAAAATCAGGCAACTTCAACACTGGTTCACTCGCCACAGCCTGTTTCAAGTCTTCAAAGGCCCTTTCACATGCCTTCGACCAGACCCATGGTTGCTTTTTCTTAGTCAGATCTGTCAGACTATCGCATTTTAGTATGCACAGTAATGAACAATTTGCAGCTCAACACATATTCCAACAATCAATTTGAAACACATATTCAAGCAATCAGCTTCATATAAGTATTTGAGCAATCAGCAAAACTATTCGAACTATTAGTTCAGTTCAAGTAACTTGAGCAATCAGCTCCATACAAACATTTAATCAATAAGACAATAACTTATTACCTTCCCGGGAGGCAGAGCTGGCGTGGAGGATGCGGATGCAGTACTCAAAATAACTTTTGTCATTGTTATTATTATCAAAATAATTCTATTTCCACTTATTTATTTCTAAAGTAGTACTTTGCAATGGTCCAAAGACCGATTTTAAAACCATATGCTTTGATACCAAACTGTAACACCCCAACCCGCGTGACCTGAATAAATAGGTTAGCGAACGGGTTGCTACTAAATTGGTATTCACATACAATATTTTTCAATAAATTAAACATTTAATTTAAAAACCAAACAATTCAAAATCATTTAAGTATATATCGGAGTTTATACAAACAGTGCGGAAGCCTTGTAATTAAATCAAACATTAAATCCCTGCATCCGTACATCTCCTTCGTCATGCTGCTCTCCAGGATGAATTCCAGAATCAATCTTCCACAACCACCTACGTGTAACAAATAGGAAAAAGGGCTACCTGCTCAGCATTGAAGCTAAGTGAGAAATATCTAACAGTTCGAACATACACATAGGCGAATCCACTAATTCATAATTATCACATGATATCATGCACACAACATGCTTGGCAACAATCATACGGCATCCAAGATATAACATGCATAATCAACGTCATAACAGTTCATAGGATACAAACAGCATCGGTATATGTATTAGGAACTTTCCTTTTACTTTACTTTACTTTCTTTATCATACTTGGATCTTAACCTATACTAGGTTAAAACATAACTGAATTCGATTTGCTTATGGAGTCATGACCTTCCCCTTCGGAACGAAGGCCAAGCTCAAACCAACTCCAGAGTTCCTCGTTGGGTGGGTGAGATCCCTGTCCCCTTCGGAACGATAGTTCTTAGATCCCCGTGTACACGTTTTTACCCGAACATCCATTGGACCCAGCAGGTACCACATGGCTCTAACTTACTATACTTATGGCATACCTTGCCATTAATCCATTCAGGTCATTTCCTAGAATTCTTCTAGGTGATATATCCACTATTCATTAATACGTACATAATACAACATTCATAAATCCACAACGTATTTAACAAGATGTCCAACATGATAAAGTAGCGGCCTAACATTGGGTGTAAACACCCATGTTTACCGTAATGCAACACACGGAATCTCAGAATTAATCCTTGACGAAAACACAGATCGGCAGACCCGGCATCAGGTACTAGACGGTACCTGTCACGGTACGGGGTACCATCCTTACGGTACCTGGGTACCGATCCTACGGTACCAGGGGTACCGTCCAAACCAACTGGACCCAGCCGGTAGACCTGTCACGGTAGCCACTACCGACCCGGCAGTAGGGCCTACCTTCCGTCCGGTACCAATGTACCGAATGGTCACAACTACCGACAGAGGAGATATAACCAAACAGAGTGTGACGGTAGCACGGTACTGTCCTGGCGGTACCGCCTACCGTCTGATGCAACCAGTTCCATATTCATACATGTTCCGTTTTTTAGCATCAAACCAACATCAATCTCATAATCAACAAACACCATTATATTCGTAGTAACGTTCTAAACATTATCAAGCACAACAATTCATCAATCAATGCCTAATTCATGCATACTACCCTTTTTGGTTTAACGACAACATATCCCAAAACCAAAATCAACAATTATATAGATAAATCACACAGATCAACCACGATAACAATTATGAACGGAATTTCAAACCTAGATGTATATTCTAGTGTTAGATGTCCACGTACTCACCTTGATTCGTCGATTAGAATTCATCGTCGGAATAGATTCATCCCGTTGCTCGAACCGATACGGCTGCCGACACTGCCACTCCTGCCCGAAATGGTTGGAACACAGAGGGGGGGGTTGCCGGAGTTGCTGGGGTCGTTCGCCGGAACAGAGAGCAGCCCCGCCGGAGTCAGAGTCGCTAGCCAGTGCTGGATTTGCTGGTCTGCTGGTGTCCTCTCGTCGTCCGCCGGAGACATTGGGGTCGCCGTCGCTGGACTTCGTCTCTCGCCGAT